GATGTAGTAGATTTGGGGCTCAAATCCATTTGCTGAATAAATTATGAACTCAGGGGCTCAACTTCATAAATCTTGTATGTATGAGAATAATTAACAAACATTTGTGAGTTAATTGACTGACTGAATAAGTAACAGAAGTTTTAAAAATTTTATTACTTTGAAAAGATTGATTAAAATATTGATTAACTTATCTTCAAAATATTAGGGGAAAGGTCTACAATATAACTACTAATACTCAATTTGTTCTCAATTTGAGGACAATTTTAGCAAAGCAAATTGGGATAGAATGGGGGTCTGGTATCTGTTACAGACTTACATCTTTGAGCTGTGTTTGAAAATCAAAGGTCTCTATGGTTGGACTTGAAGAACAGTTGAGTTGGTTACTGAAGAGGCAATGGGTATCATGATGTTTTCAGGAGTTGGGGAGATAAGGGATGCATACTGGCAAGCAAACAATTCTTACAAAACCCAAAAAGAGTCATATGGAAAGGATTCAGTTATGCTTTCTCAAATGTAGAATAGGAGTTGTAAGTTGTCTTAGTTTGTCTTCTGTTTCTGTGATGAAACACCATGAACAAGACAGTTTGTGGAGGAAAGGATTTATATGGCTTATATAGCTCAGATTACAGTCTACTGAGGGAAGCTGAGGTAGGAATGCTGCTTGCTCCTCATGGCTTGCTCAGTTTGCTTTCTTATACAACCAGGGTCCAGCTGCTCAGGGCTGGCACTGCCTGCAGTGGACTAGACCCTCACACATCAATAATCAATCACCAAAAAAAAAAAAAATGGGGGGGGGGGGGTGTCCCTATTTATTTTTTTAAAATGATGAGAAGTGGGGGGAGTAGGAAGGGAAAAAACCCGGGGGAGGAGGGGGGGGGGTTGGGGGGGGGGGGCAGGGGGGGGTGCGGGGGGGGTGGGGAGGGGTTGGGAGCGAGCGCTTTGTATGGTTGTTTTTTTTCATTTATTAGCCCTTTGAAACATACCTGTATTAGAGGATTATCAAGTTACTCAAATAGGATATAGCAGAGGAGGTTACAGGGTAGATCAGGTCATTTGTGTTTCCCTCATTCAACTATGGTGATATGTCATAGGGCTGGATATGTGTCTGATAGAAATGTTGACAAGGTAATAGCAGGCTGATGGAAGTAATGTACACCTGGGAGGCAGCAAACAGACAAGATAGTGGAAGAAATGGAAGGAAAGAGAGAGAGAGAAGGAGGAAGAGGGAGAAATAGTGTCATAGAATATATTGCAGTCTTGTTACTTTCAGTTGTCTAGTAGCCATGTAAAGTAAGCATAAGAGATAGAGAACAAGAAATTCCAGCAGTGTATAAAAAGATCAGCAGAATGAACATGAGTGTTCTGCAACAAAGGCAGGTGTGAGTATGGTTTAAAGTAAAAACTACACACACACACACACACACACACACACACACACACACACACACACGAATATTTCCCTTTGATGAGGAAATCTAAAAATGTGCTCCTTAAAGCTCCCTGTAGAAGGGAATACTGTCATCAAGGCTAAACTGATAGAAAGAACTTTTTGGAGACCTGTTAGTTATGTTTAGAAATTTGACCAACATCTTGAAAATGATGATAAACCACTGAATGCTGAAGGCGAAAGGATCCCCGTGGGAAGGGATTGGAGGAATGCAAAGCTGGAGGCCAAGGGGCTAGGCCAGAAAGAAGCGTGGGGTAAGGTGCTAAGGAGAGTAACGTCTCTATAAATCGGTTTGAGTTCTATAATATCCATGCCATGGAAGCTAATCCCTTGTCTCCTTTCTGAGTATCAAAGCCAGGAGAGCTTGTGGGAGAACTATGCAAAAAAGCATCCTCATCACCAGGTGAGTGAAACCACATACAATGCTGAGTTGTACTATGAATGAAAGTTGGCAAAAATCACTAAATATTTCTAAATTCCATTAGCTTTGCTCATGCTTTGGCATTCACTGAGCAGGTGATATTTGGATGGGCAATAAAATAATGACCTATTGGGTTCATAAATTATTATGCAATCTCTATAAAATTTGTTTTTCTCATCATTCAGTAAAACCATAAATTGTGTTATTACAAATAATATTTTTATGTAGTCATTCTATTAACATCAAATAAGAGAAATTTTGAATCATTGTAGTTCTGTGATGGTATTTAAAAATTAGAGCTTAGCCGGGTGGTGGTGGTGCATGCTTTATTTCCCAGCACTTGGGAGGTAGAGTCAGGAGGATCTCTGTGAGATTGAGGCCAGCCTGGTTTACAGAGGTAGTTCTAGGACAGCCAGGACTGTTACACAGAGAAACCCTGTCTCAACCCTCCCCCCCCAAAAAAAATCAGAGCTTTATTCTGCTTAATCAGAGCTGAAAACAAACCAGGAAATTTATATATCATGCTAAAAAATAATGGGGTCATATACAATAAATTACCATTACTGTACAAAACAAACATTTAGTCTTAACGGCTATTTTCACCATCTCTTAAATATAATACTGACATGAATCAATATAAAACTTCTAGAATTACACATAAACAAATATGAAAACAACATGAGCCATATAGTGGTGTGAGAAATCTGTTTTTAGGGCAGCCATAATAAATACTGTGTAGTTTTATTATACATCTGTTCTAAATGGGAACAGAAGAGAAACAAGAAAATTGGTACCATATACACTCTATGGAAACAATACCCCACTATTGAAGCATCATTTGCAAGCATGCTGAAAGGAAGGATCTAGTAAGTTAACGAAGTTGATTCTTTTCTTATCACCCAACACTTTTGCTGTTTACATTCCTACTGCATCCCAGAGCAGTGTCCATCTGTAGTGGTGATAGTGGCCCTAACCACAGGCATCACACAACCTTAAGCAAAGTCATGTCTTGTTCTGCCAATAAAAAGCTTAAGAAAGACTTCAAATTTAACCTTAGGAATATGAGTTTTCAGGACTTTGTTTTATTTAAGAATAAGAAAGTACACAAGGAATTAATGGTTAGTTTAAGTGAGAATGACCCTCAGAGGTTCATACATTTGAATACTTGGCAGAACTGTTAGGAAAGGATTAGGAGGTGTGTCCTTGTAGGAGCACATGTATCACTTGGGGTGGCCTTTGAGGTTTCAAAGACTTGCACCATTCCCAGTTGGTTCTGTCTTTTGCTCGTGGATCAAGACGTGAGCTCTCAGCTATTCCTGCTGGGATGACTTTGCCATCATGGACTCTCATTAGAACCATAAGCCCAATTAAACACTTTCTTTTATTAGTTGCCCCAGTGATAGTGTTTTATCACAGCTATAGAGAAGTAACTAGATAACACCCACACACACCCACACCCACCCACCCACACACACACACCCACCCCCACCCCCACACCCCCCCACCCCCACACAGTATCTCGTATTCAGTTTTCTCTATGGCTGAAGTACCAAGGTGGTGGGGCTAATGTATCTCTAAGCAGAATGTCCTCTGTGAATATCCCTGAATCAAGATGGAGATGTTCAGTAGAGGGTGGATGAAAAACACCAAAGGGCATTTCAACCAGTGAGCCAGACATTTTTCTCCCAGGGATTTCCTTCTTGCTTCTCATGTGGCTTGGGTCCTTTAGCAGCAGTATAAGGAAAAGAGCCATTTTGGAGTGAGAGATACAAGCTGATTTTCACAGAGTAAATCAGAGATTTCAGAGAAATCAAAGTCACAGAAATGTTGGGAGAAATAATTCACGTGGAGGAAAATTTTGACATCGTACCCCTGTGACTTGGGACATTTTATGTATAAACTACTATCTTGTAACCAGGGAGTAATTTCTGATGCTTTGAAAACACAAGCTCTGATATACTCATAGCTCCTTTACTGAGATAATTCACAAGTTTCCTTGTTTCTGGTGGACAACTAACACACTTAGATTTTCCACTAGAATGGGATGTTGTAAATAATATAAGTAAATCTTTTTAAAGCACAAAGCCTCCCTGTAGTATGGTTTGTATGTACTACTGAAATAAATTTCCTTTTAAGATATTTAATTTCTGCAGAAGATATGTAGAACTAACCTGAGTTTTAAAGCAGCTGTCTTCTTACTTAACTTGTGGTATATAGGTTGGAGCCAGGAGCCTCTGCATGTTCCATCCATGAGTTCTATTCCCCAGACTGTAGTTAACTATGTTTTAAAGAAGGCATTTAGAGGCCCATGTTCCTCTAGAAGTTTAAATGGAGTTATACAACTCCCATCTGCTTCCATGGTGTTGACACGGTTATTTTTATGTTATTAATGAAGGAGTGAGGTTGTTTGAGGTTTTGAAACCTAACTTCATAAGCTCTGGGACACAGCCAAGAATGTAGTCAAAACTTCACAACAGGCTTCCTTTTTTTGACATGATTATAAATGGAAATCATTCTCATGGTTGTACTTCATTATTGCTGGTGATTATTAGGTTTTAGCATGTGATAACATACTTTCTCCTTAATTCATCTTTAGAAACAAGAAATAAAACCAGGAGCCAGCCAGACAGAAAATACAAACAGCTTTATTATTGATAAAACTAGCTGAAAAAGAGGCCGATGTCTTCTTGAATCATAAGGTTTGCTCAAATGCAAGGCAACAATGGCTTAATGTTGTAGGCTTCTTACCTACAAGTACAGAGGCAACGGGTCAGGACTAGCAGCATTTTCTCCAGTACCAGGTATCTTACCGATTTGCTCTCCATGACCCTTTCCCAACTTCAGCCATCAAGTATAAATTCTGGGTTCGAAGAAGAAATACAAGGATGACACCCAAGGACTCATCATTTCCACTTGTATCCTGATAGTTTGAACATAGTCATTTACCCACATCTAACTATAAAAGCAAGTATTCTGGAGAAAGAGTACAGCTGGACATTTACAGTCTGGGCCACATTCTTGAGTCAAATTTAGGCAGCCTGGCAGAGACAGAGTTGGGCAACTCCTAGTCTTTCTTACAGGGATAAGCAAGCTGCTGACTACAAGGTACACACTTCCCTTGAGGGTAGGTCATTTTCGGGAGAGGAACAAGGTTGCAGATGAGTCCCTTAATACTTGATTCTCTCTGGTTTCAGCCCAAGAGAGGCTGGCAGACAGGTGTCTTCACTAGTTCTTAACTGGTGTCTGGTTTTGCTAAGGGGCAGTACAGTGAACTGTCATAGGGCAGGAAGGTGGCACATGATGGGGCACCACAGTAACAAGTCTTTCTTGGTTGTCCATGATCTGTCCTGTCTTTGTCTTTATTGCTTATTCGATTAAGGAACCTTCCTGAATAGTCATAAGAGAGTTCTTCTCCTGGCAAAATATCTTTGGCTGCAAAAAGTGCCAGCTTAGGCACCATTGAGTCAATTCGGACAGGAATCATCAACAGGTTTGGTTCGCAAGAATGATTCAGGAATCTACCAATATTTCCTATGTAGGTAGGGTCGACAAAAGTTTCCATGACCTGTCCACTATAAATGTGCTCCCTGACGGCAATGATGTAATTTGGGTCATGTGTTGTTTGCAGGTGAATTCTTCTCTGTACTTCAGAGAATCCTAAAATCTCCCCAGCATACTCACAGACGAATCTTCCCTTGGGTATAGATTCCAAGCTCTGAAGTCCCCAGCCCTTCTTATCCGTTTGGAACACCTGGAGATGGAATTGCAGACCATTCTGGACCACCCTGTTTCTGCAGTGGTCACCACACTGGCAGAGGACATTGCATTCAAAAACTGGTTTGGCATACTTTGCTTCCAATCCTATGTCCCTGAGGCACAGATTGTCATCATAGTTATTCTCATGGCGGAGACAGGAGCAAGTGCCAGGGAGACATGGCGTTTGGACACAAGCACACCCAGGAAAGGTTATTTGTGTGGGGTCGATGTCTGCTCCAGGCCCAGCTACATGATCAGGAGTATACTGCAAAGTAAGAGATGCTGGTTAGAGTGGCATCCATGTATTTCATAAGAATGTAACAGAGGTACAGCTTTTGGTGTGGACATTTTCTAATTCCAGCACATATAAAACTATGACAAAACAAACCCATAAAAACACAACACATTGAATCATGACCCAAGAATATCCTTCTCCCACTTAAAGAAGTTAATTTTTAAAGGTTTACTTTGATTTTTACTTATATGAATGTGTGTATATCTATGTGTATTATATGCGTGCCTGTCCCCATGGAGGTCAGAAGAGGACATAGGATCCTCTGGAGTTGACATTACAGGAGGTTATGAGCTGCCAAACAGGAGTGCTAGGAATCAAACTCCGATGCTTTGCAAAAACAGCAAGTTCCCTGAACCACAGAGACCTCTCTCCAGTCCAAAAATCTAACTTACATCACTTTAAAGTTTTGTGGTCTTCCAGGAATAAAAATAACAATAGATTTTTTTTTCTATAATCAGGAATTGAAATCTTTGAAACTCGTTCTGTTTCCTAAAATAGCTGTGGATCTCAGGAACTGAAACTCTATTGTTTATTCTTTGAGAATTGCAAATGTGTATAAGATCAACTGTGATCCTAACCCACACCGTTCCATCCCTCCACAGCCACCTCCCAGCTACATGTCTTCTTTATTTCTTTTTAAAAGCCCATTTAGTGCTGCTCATTCATGCATGGATGTGGGGCCCTCTCCTGGAACATGGGTAACCTGTCAGTTGTCACCCCCCCCCAAGAGAATGAGTCTCCTCCTGTCTGCAGCTGTCACCTGCCAACAGCTCCTAAGTTAGGGGACGTTCTTCAGAAGTTATTTCTCCATCTAGGCTGGAATTTTGGCTGGCTTGATCTTGTGTAAGTCTTCATAGCTAACCACAGCTTCTGTGAATTCGTGAGGGCACTAGCCACATCAGGTCCAGAAGATGGCACTTCATAGCACTCCTCCCCATCCCCCAGCTCTACTCCTCCCCACCCTCCAGCTCTTCCCTGCCTCCTCTTCTGTGATGTTCCCTGAGCCTTGGCAGGCGTGGGAGGATTGATAAAGATGCTCCATTTAGGGTGAGCACTCAATTGCTTATTCTCAAGTACTTTGACCAAAAGCTATTGAATTTGATGCCTGCATGAAGTTCAATATTTTATCCTGAGCTTTCTTCCTCTTTAGCTTTACCTGATAATGTACATACATACACACATATATCATTATAAGTCATTCCAGGGTATTTTTTCTGTGGGGGGGGGTAAAAAATCATAAATGTTAAATCAATCACAGAAATAATTCTAAAATGGAATTTATTAAATAGGTATCAATATATAAATTATAGATGTATCTGATACATGTACAGAAATTCTGGTCTCATTAAATGACAAAGGGATAATCTGAAACAGTTCTTGGTGTTTAAAATGTACCTATATTTTAAAAACATTACATTTACAAAATATGAAAAAGAAAGCCTCAAATCCAAAATCTTTGTAAAAAGCCTACTGTCTTAATTATTTCCTTACAGGTGTTAAGAAGCGCAGTTGTAAACCCTGAAGCTCAAAGTATCTCTTACTACTGGGGACATGGCAGCTGGTGAACTGCTTGCCATACACACAGAATTATCTGACTCTAATCCCTCAGAAGACATGTAGAAAAGAGTCTGATGTGGCAGCACGCATCCGATAGGCTAGCCCTGAAGATGTGGATACTGCAGAATTTCCAGGATTCGCTGGCCAGCCAGTCTAGCTGATCAGTGAGCTCCAGGCTCAGTAAGAGATCTTGCCTCAAAGGGAACAGTGGAGAGCAAGTGAGGACTGCTTGCAGTGTCAATCTCTGGGCTCTACAGCTCTATAGGCAAACACAGGTGCACACACACACACACACACACACACACACACACACACACACACACACACACCCTCTTAAGAACCTAGCAAACTTTATGTACATAAAAATGGTTGCTTACACGGAACTTTATTTTTAGCCTCCTCTTTCCCAAAAGGACATTTAAAAGGTATGGTAATAAACAAAAGGCAAGTGTGAGGTGTGCAGTGGCTTGGGTAAATACCCAAAGGTCTATGTGTTCAAGGCTCACTCCTTAGTCTGTGGTTCTATTGGGAGGTGGTGTGACCTTTAAGAGGTGGAGCCTAGTAGGAGCAAGCCTGTTTATTGGGCACAGCCCTCATAGAGAATATTGGGATCCAGTATTTTCCTGTGTTTATTGTGCTTCTCAGCTGTCATGAACAATTAATTTCCTGTATTACATACTTCCACCTTGATGATCAGCCTAGCCTTAACACAAGGCCAAGAGGCAGGACCAATCAACACTGGACTGATGCCTACCAAGTATGAGCCCAAAGAAACCATTCCCTTATATGTATAGTGCATCCGGTGGGAGTGTGGGGGGGGGTAAGACAAATGTCTGTCTGGCTTGAAACTTCTGGTAATCTTGTCTCACCCTCTAAAGTGCTTGGAGTACCATGCCTCACAACCTTTCAACTTTTTAATCTGATTATCTCAGGTGTTTTGCTACAATAACAGAAAGCCAATTAACCCAGGATGAAAGAAACCTGTGCAACGAGCTTGGACGTATGAAGAGTGAAGCAGAAACAGACGGAACAATTGGCTTCATGTAGCATCACTTAGTTCAAAGAAGGTGTATGATTAGACACAAGTCTTGCACTGTCTTGCTATATCTTGCTATATCAGAAGCAATATTGACTTTTCTAGTACAAATACAAGAAAGAAATTTTTATCATTGTGTCCTTCTACACCATCCTTTTGTAGGAGGCAGTCCCTGGGGGCTGTTTTTATTCTGACCCTTATTAAAGTGGCATGCCACTGTGCCAACAGAGTGCTTCTGCAGGGCAGTACCAGCAGCATGGCTTTTCATTTGGGGGAAGCATTTTACAGGATCTGGAGGGATGCTGGAATTGCCCATCTCTGTTCCCCTGTTAAGAGGGTGTCTCCTGGGCCCATCTTTAGAAAGACATTGAACAGTATGTAGTGACACTCCCTGGGGAGGCTTGCTTGGTGGAGCTGTGCGGGTAAGTGCAGAAGCCTGTTCTTTAAAAAGCACAGGACTGGAGGAGGATTGGCATTCCTGTTGAAAGATTAAGAAGGTGAAGAGTGGGTGTCTGGGGTGGGGGGCAGGCCAGCCTTCTGCTTCAACAGTGATTTGGGGGTAGGGAGTTAAAGAGCTTCCGCTTGCATTGTGTCTTACCGCTTTAGCTGTGTAGGAATGTCCTCTAGGGATGAAGGAACTCTCAAAAAAAGATGCCCTTGTCCATCAAATGCAGTGAGTGCTGTCTTACCCAGAGCCCACTGGCTTTTTAACGATTCAATGTTGAAATGCAAATGGTTATTGAGGCGTTTCAAGAAGTAGCTGTAAAATAAAGATTTTGTGATCTCCTTGTGAAACTTTTCATGGAGAGTATTTTTAAACTGATTTGTTCCTCAAGGAGCATATCCTTTTAAAGTACAGTATTAAGTCACTGAACTATAAAATGATTTTTTTTTCCAAGCACAGCTGACTCCTTTTAAAATAAGTCTGACTTATTGCAGTTTTGTAACCAGGAAAGTATTTTCCTCCCCTAAAAATTAGTTCTGTTTGTTATTTTTTAGTTAAAAAAATTTGAGACTACTTTATTATATTTTATTTATTTTTGCTGTGTTAAAGATTTCACATAGGGCCTCATACATGAAAGGTAAGTGCTCTGCTGTTCAGCTACAGCCCCAATTCATAATTTACTATGAAATATTCTTTTATATACTTTTATATATTTTCCTATCATGTACAAGGAATGTTCTGGATTTGATCTGTAACAATGAGATAGAGAATATAGGTGGCTGGAGAGATGGCTAAGAGGTTAAGAGCACTGGCTGCTCTTCCAGAGATAGAGACACAGACAGAGACAGATTTACAGATAGACAGATAGATGAATATATTTTTTAACTATGGAATAAAAATTCCATAGTTAAAACTGTAGAGTTGGGCAATTTGAGCTCCTTTACAGTTTAGTTACAAATGACAGCAAATTCCAAATTAGCTTCAGATATCTTGAACAGACAATACAGACTTCAAGGTAAATTTCCAGTTTTGCAGGAAGTGTCTCTCTACCCATTGAGTCATTTTACCAGTCTAGAATAAAAAATATGTATGGAATCATTGACCCTGAGGCTAGTGATGATTATAAATCATTTTATCTTCACCTTTCTTCACTTTTCTCCTCCATAAAAGGTTAGAAAAAATATTATAGCAGAAGAAAAGCATTTTACTGATTTAAAAAATAACTATTAGTGAAGAATAATCTTTTGAGGTAGGGAGACAGTTCAATGGTAGAGTTTACATAGGATGTAAAAGGCACTAGATTGGAGGCTCCATATTACCAAAACAAAAACCAAAACACCCAAACCAAAGCAACCCCCCCCAAACCTTTTAAGAACCATGTCTAATTAAATATATTGGCATGTGATTATCTGTCTTTTCAGAGATAATTTAGGTCATCAATCATTAGACATTCTATTCTAATGCTTATGTTCAGCAAACTGTTAAACTTTGATGCTGGGTTGTGTGTTGCAAACTGGGAGGAACCACTTGATCTTAACTGAAGTGGATCCAGTTTGTTCACACTTTACAAAATCTGTTTGTATCCTACTTCCTGTGGACCAAATTCATCCACAAGGATACTTAAATCTGAAGGCTGCTTGCCTCTACAGGACAAGGCCAGAACAAGGCTTTGGTCACAGCAGATGTGCTATTCTCCCAGCTCCTCCTGAAGTCTCTCAACTTTTGATGCAGAGGTTTGGATGAGGGTTCCATATGGTTCCAGAAGCTGACCTGGCTCAACAGAACATCACTGTTCTTTTCAAGTGTTTGGCTTTGGATTGGGGTACAGCCCAGTTGGTGGAGTACTAGTTCAGCATGCAGGAGGCCCTGGGTTCCATCCCCAGGACCACAGAATCCATAGTGGAGGCACACATGCTTGGTGCACCCAGCATACCACAGA